TCCCGCCGTGAACCGGCGTACATTTAACATTCTCTCCCTCGGTACTGTGGCGAAACGTACTGAGCTGGAGAAGGCGATGGCTGCACGCCTGTGTGATTTGGACTGCATAGCCACAGTGGGCGACCTGTGGCACCACATTCGCGACCAGGTGACAGCTGCTGCCGAGGAGACCATCGGGCGCGCAAACTGTAAGCGGCCTGATTGGTTTGATGAGAACAATGCGACGATTGGCGCATTGGTGTCAGAGAAGAATGCACCATTTGCTGCGCATGTTGCAGACCCCAGGGACTTGGGGAAGAAGAGTCAGTTTCGCGAACTTCGACGGCGCCTTACCCGAGAACTCCGTCGCATTAAAACTGCATGGTGGACGGAGAAGGCGAACCAGATGGAATGCTACGCCGAACGTCGCCAACACAAGGAATTCTTTGACTCCTTGAAGGCAGTGTATGGACCGAGATTGGAGCCGCTGAGGACACTGATCGATGGTAGTTCAGGCGCTACCTGCACACAGACTGCAGACATAATGCAAATCTGGCGAAATAACTTTGACTGTCGCTTGAACAACCGTTCAGAGATCGACCGGCCTACATTGAACGGCCTCAAGCAGCACGATGGGAAGACGAGTCTGGCGGACACGCCGACACTGGATGAGACGCAGAGAGCACTTGCTCAGCTGCGAAACGGCAAATGTGCTGGGGCCGACGGGATCCCGCCTGAAGTATTGAAACACGGCGGACCCACGTTGTTGACTGCGCTGCACCACATGGTGCAATGTGTATGGATTGAGGAGGTGCCTCGTGAGCTGAAGGATGCCCTTGTGCTACCACTGTACAAGGGTAAAGGTAGCAAGCAACGTTGCACAAATTATCGTGGCATCAACTTGCTGAGTTGTGTGGGCAAGGTGATTGCCCGAATCCTGCTCAACCGCCTCGTCATTCAGGTTGTGGAACCTAGCGTGGCGGAAGAGCAGTGTGGATTCCGTTCAGGTCGCAGCATTGTAGATATGGTGTTTGCGGCTCGTCAGTTGCAGGAGAAGTGCAGAGAACAACATCAGCCATTGTACTCGCTTTTTGTTGATTTCACCAAGGCATTTGATACGGTGAACCGCGAGGCATTGTGACTGGTGTTGGGTAAGTTTGGTTGCCCGCGTAAGTTTGTAAGTTTTATTGAATGTCTTCACAGTGGTATGCGAGCGAGGGTGCAGCTGAGTGGAGAGACCTCGGATGACTTTGCAGTTGTCTCTGGTGTGAAGCAAGGCTGTGTCTTAGCTCCTGCCCTGCTTAATATCTATCTTCATGCAATCTTGTCTTGTGCTTTTGATGCGGTTTGTGCTTACGGTGTTCGTGTGGAGCACTGTATTGATGGTGGGTTGCTGAATATCCGTCGTTTCGGTTCGAGAACCCTAGTCTGTGAGACAGCTATCCGTATGTTGCTGTTTACTGACGACTATGCGTTGTTTGCACACAGCGCGTATGAGTTGCAGCACATGACTAGTGCTCTAGCTTCGACAGCGGCAAAATTCGGGCTCACCATCAACACAAGCAAAACTGTCCGTCTCTCTCAGCCTTCACCGGAGGTGCAATCCTCAATATTGCCGCAAATCAGCATTGGTGCTGAAGTATTGGAAACCACCTCCCGCTTCTGCTACCTTGGGAGTGTGATGTCGACTGATCAGCAGATACACAGTGAGCTTCGTATCCGCGTGTCGAAGGCAGCGGCGGCATTCGGGAAGCTAGAGTACCGAGTGTGGAACAACCGTCAGCTTACCATTGGCACGAAGCTGATGGTGTACAAATCCATGGTGCTGTCCGTTCTTCTATACGGCAGTGAAACGTGGACGATGTACCGGCGGGATGAGCGAGATCTCGAGCGGTTCCATTCGCAGTGTTTGCGCCGGATTTTGCGCATCGGTTGGGGGGACAGAGTTGCTGATACGGAATTGTTGCGACAAAGTGGGATGTATGCAGTAGACTGCATACTTTTACTGAGACACCTGAGGTGGCTCGGTCATGTGAGCCGTATGGATTCAACGCAGATACCGAAGCAGCTATTATACAGCCAGCTGAGTATTGGGAAGCGGCATGTGGGGAAACCAAAGTTACGTTACCAGGACATGGTCCAAGTGAACCTCTCACGTTCTAACCTCGATTGCAGGTCGTGGGAATCGAAGGCGGTTGATCGGCGTGCATGGCGCGATCTAATCACGAAAGCAGTTTCCGAAGTGCGAGAGAATGACCTCATACATGCAGAGAAGAAGCGGCAAGCACCGATGGGTTGTACTCCATCGACATCGAGTGCATGGTGCTGTAGCACATGCGGTCGCGGGTGCCTGAGTCAGGCAGGCCTAGTGAGCCATGAGCGAGGCCACTCTGGACCACTACCGAAGTGACGACGGGTCCTGCAGAGAACATAGACAGAACCGGCGCAGCGTTTGTAGGTACGCTGCATTCGATTTATTAACAGCGCGCCTGTAAGCTAAATCTATTTATTTCAGGTGGTAGGCTTTTAATTTTGTCCTAATGCTTTTCTTTCCCATATAAATGCCTACTTATGCTCTCTTCTATACACTTGCACACGTCGCTTAAGCCACTTGTAGTTATTTCGATAACACTTTCGTGCTTGTAGCATTTCCAAAAAATAAACTTTCTGACCGCGTGAATTTACCTCGGATTCATTTGTAAACAATTTATTTCATATGCTCATTAATTTAAGAGTTATGTCACCGTTTCTTAATGCATTACTCGATTTATTTTCTTGGAGATCTTTTTCTCAAGTGATTGGCTGTTGTTTGATATCCGCGGTGTGGCTGCGCTTGATGTGCATGTTGGCAAGGTGCCTACCTGTCTATTACCCACTACCTCGTCTATACTGGCTCCAGGAGACAGTTGATCACTGCTGGAGGGGACGGGGTGCATGGTCCTTGTGGCCGTGTTAGGCTCGAAGAGTGGTTCCATGCACTCAGTGTGGAGCGGACTACGGTCCAACCACTGCGTTGTGTGTGCTTGATTCCCCAGATACAGCGTGCTATATATATATATATATATATATATATATATATATATATATATATCCGATTGACTATATACGACAATATGGTCTCAGTACACGCCTGTGCTCAAAGTCATCTAACAAGTGCGGCATCAAACACCGGAGGGTGACCGGGGCAGCAGACACATCAAACGGCATCCTTTTAATTTGGTATTGCTTCTCGCTGACTGTAAACACCATATTATCGCGGCTTTCTCGTTTGACCGCCAGTAGCTAGATCTCAGGTCCAAGACACTTAATATCTTTGACTGCAGCAGTCTGTCGAAGATGTCTACGACCAGTGGAAACGACTCAACGAGGTTTTTTCAGCCTTATGAAGTCTATGTATAAACGGTAGTTACTGTTGGTCTTCCTCGTCAAAACGGCTGGGTAAGTATACTGGCTGTGAGTCTCCTGGATTACACACGCACTCAACATCACTTGTAATTGCTTCTAGAGTTCCATGTCTACTATCAGGCAAATTAGTTTCCTTCGGAAATTATGCGACCGGTACATCTGGTGTGAAATCGAAATTGTGGGCTCGATCCTATTACGAAGCGCATAAAAACTACTGTCGTCCGTAAGGAGGTGGTGGTTGCTAACATGCGACTGCAAGGCCGGACTTGCGTGCGAAACAGCAACAGCCGAGCACGACCGTGTGGATCATTCTCTACCAGAGGAGGATATAGACCCGCATTCCGTCGCTAACTTTTTTCGTTTCGGGCCGACAGTGGCCCCATCGAGTTGAAGAAAGCCAGCCCCCTAAAGACGCGATTTGCTTCCGTTCGCCGATCCAGTGATGTGCTCCGCCATGTCACGTATGTGTACTTCGTAACCGCCAGCATTCCTCACATACACAGCGCAAGATTGAAGTTTTCTTCTCTGCCGATGGCTGACAAGGGTCACTGCGGCACTCGTCTCAATCAAACATCGTTCTATCGTGCCGTTTACCTCCACCATCGCTTCAACCCCATCTTTATTCAGCGACCGATTAGACATTCGAGAAGCAAAACAAGATTGAACGCGTGTACTTGGTAAAGTGGGGCACTAAATGCTTCGCCCGGCATTGTTGTTTCCAGTGTCTGTTGTCCACAAAGGGAACAAAATCCCCTTGATCGCTCCTCCGAGAGTTGCACATGATGCCTTGCTCGAGCTGCTCCACCACCCGATCAAATCTATGCAACCGTTTTACGCCTTTATGGTGTTCCTCTTCTAATACGGCGAGAGGCGCATCGCCAAACTCGCTGACGACCAGAGCAAGCTCCACGCGTACTCTTCGGATTGAGCTCGCAATCCGGACTCATTACGCGATGGTATGTGCAGGACCACCCAGAAACTTGTCCACCATTAACTGCTGTCTCGATGCATCGTCCAGTCAGACAGTGCGCCATTCAACAAGCTGCGGATGCTGACCACGAAGACGAGCAGATCAACCTATATTTCAAACCGGGCCGCCCTAAACCGCCACAACCAGCGTCACCTTCGCGACGACCCACACCAACTTGGCAGGGCTTCTTCGCGCCGCCACCAATATTGCCTAAATGTTGCTCTTGAGGAGATTCCGCAGGGCAGCCAGATTTGCTCGCTGCGGTTTCCCTCGGACTGCCTCCGCGAGGTCTTCCAGGAACATCCGTACATTCCTATCCTTAAACGATTCCAGCCATCAGTCAGGCATGTCTGTTCTCTCTACTGCTCAGTGCATCAGAGTAATACTGGAGACTTTCTAGACAGATGGCTAGACGTCCGAAAGTGAACCTGAGAGAGTAAGGAAGCATGCATGACACTATTGGGTAAAAGATAATCAAGAGAAGCGCGACCTCAACTGCCTTGTTTTCACTCGATTAGTTTATGGATCATAAAGCCACATATACCCAACTACGAAGCTGGTAGCGCGTTAAGTTTCCGATCCAATGCGAAATCTCATTCACCACTTTAGCTTCTCACAAAAATGAATGCACAATGGTTAAACTTACATTCCCACTAATTGCATCATTCCTCGTATTTGGGTGGACAACGCATCCATCTGGATTCGTCTGGAGAGAAGTATTTGTTAAACTTGAGTTTAACTTGTTTCCACGTGAGCGAGAAACGGGTGGTGCGGGTGGCGGAGGAATCAACCCGATGGGAGTGGCATCTGCACGTGGAGTTACTCGGGGTTTAAAAGTTACACTATCATCACGAGCGTCATCTCCTGTCCGCCGAGTGTTAAGATTGAGGACGATCCTTTGACCCTCCTTGAATCCCAAGTCAAGTGAAGGCTGTGATTTAAGCCTTTCTTCGGCCAGTTTTACATCCTCGTCTTGTTTGATCCACCTGTGGGAACAATAAAAGACACATGTGTAAATATACTTGAAACAACGTTTAATTAACAAACCAACGGGTCCGTAACTCACTTGAAGTGGTCTTGAATGGCGACATTAAAATCGAACGAATCGGTCCTTTCTGCAAAGCCAAGCCCAATAAACATCGTCCGTCCATCATCCGCCATTAAGCGTATAACGAAATACCGACTGGAATCCAATACAGGCTCCACAGCAATACCAGGAAAGGCATCCACGGGACATTTGGCATATGCAGCACCCGTTTTTCCATCCTCTAGGTGAATCACGAGTTCCTTTCCTTTGGCAATAATGCGTAGTCTCCCAGTCCACTGTGGTGAATCTAATTTCCAATCATCCGCCCTGTAACCCCGGTTGGATTGTCTTGGAGGAATGCGATATACCATTACGTCATTTTTAACTAGGACAACATTTTCGTAGTCCATCGGAAAAGCTAGTCTGGAATGAAAAGCGGAGACAAGTATAGGTCATATAGGGACCAGTGGCTTTGAACCACACTTTCAAAACAGGGTCCGAATGAGCAGTGCGAGAAACAAAACAAGAACAAAAGGAGGCAGCTGTTCGTAAAACAAGGCTAGAATCATCATATAATAGCAGATTTATTGTTATTGTTGAAGTTACCTAGTCAGACAACCACTACACAATAAGAAAGCGCTAGAAGCCCGTTTCATCCTGTTAGGAATCGCCAGTAGCGTGCAACTCCTGATTTTTAACCCAAGACCTTACTCTTATGAGTCATGGGTACCGATCAGGCAGATGCGCGTTACTGACGAGTCAGAGTACGACGAAACGGGTGTCTAGCGCTTTCCTGGATAAGCGTTGGCAGTCCGACTGGGTCTAGCTGCGAAGGACCTTTCGTAGTTGCCCTGCCCTCCCTGCCACGCCAACCCAGCCGGGGACAAAACAGAACACCGAAGCCTGCTAGACCGAAGTGTATTAGGCATACAACACCGTTGATTTTATGCGTCTCAATCTATCATCTCCTGTTGTAAGTTTCTGAGCTAACTCAAGCCACTTGCCCTGGACAAATTTCAAACCTGCTTGTGGTCCGCACTGGCCAGCTGCCGTTGCGCCCTGTCACGTAACAACCTGGTTCATGCTGACAGTCTGGTTTCATCAGCTTCCCGTGTGACTTAGCCGTGTTACCGCCGGTCGTGTAGCAACCCGTGTGCTGATGACGAAGTGATTTCACCAGCTTCCGGAGTGACAGCCCTGCTACTGTCGATGGGGTAGCAACCCGTGTCCCGATGATAGACGTACTGTGCGAACTCGATTTTGTTCGTAGATTTTCGCCTTGGGATCAACTTGTAGCCATTGTGTTCGTCTCTATTTTCGGGTCGGTCTGCATTGTGTATCATCTGATGCTTGCATGTTCTGTTATGATCCACGTAGCTTCTCAGCTTCCTCTTCCAAACCAAATATGTCTAGCAGGATGTCCCACTGTAAGGATGGCGGTTCTGGGGAACTTTGAATCTTGCGATGATTCGGCCTCAGCTGGTGTGCGTGCCTGATCCATTTCTCATTTCCTACCATTAGCTCGTAAATGATTCGATCCTTTCTGCGCATCACTTCCTGTCGACCTCCTCGGTCCTCGGAAGTCTCGCGTGTACATTATGTTACCAATTTTGATGTGACGGAGCGTGTCTGACCGATTTTTCTCCATTTGAAAACTACAATGCTTTTCTTTCCTGATTGGCATAAGGTTATCGAACGATGTCCGAATTTTCCATTCAAACAAAATTTCGGCAGGGACTTTTTCACCTGGGTGTTTGGATTTAATGCATTTCGATACATGCATAGAAAAGAATGGATGGTGTCCATCAAGACCTTGTTTTGTCCCGCTTTACAAAGAGCACGTTTAAAGGTATCCACGAACCGTTCCGTCTGTCCGTTTGATTGGGTAATGAGAGCATCTGCTGAAATCTTCTCCTTTCACCACTAGCGAAAGGAAGTTGAAGTGAATTGTGTATCGTTGTGTCCCTATTATCTCTGACAGGCCTAAACACTTGAACAGCTCGTTTACCGTGTGTTGGGCAGTCGGACTTTGCATCGGGATCACATCTGGCCACTTGAAGTACGAGTCCACTAAAACAAGATAGAATTGATCGGCGATTGTTCCTGCATAATCTAAGTGGATTCGCTGCCATGGCTTCTCTGCTTTGGGCCAAGGTTGCCAGGTGCACTTGGGAAGGCCCTTCGCCGCCAGTTGACAGATTCACATTTTTGGCAGAACTGTTCAATTTATGAATTCATTCCGGGCCAATAAACAAAACTGCGTACCAAGGCTTTCATACAGTTGGTATCTTGATGTCCGGTATGAAATTGCTGTAAGACTTGTCTGTTCAGTTTCTTTGGCACCATCACTCGGTCTCCAAACATCAAACAATTGTCTACAACGGACAGTGACTCACGTCAGTTGAAGAAAGACCGCAAGTCAGTAGGGATACCATCTTTTGGCCAAGCTGTTTGCAAGTAATGCCTCACTTTCTCTAGGGTTCTGTTCTGAGAAATCTCCACGCGAATAGTATCAGTTGTCACTAGTAACCTTACATTATCGGCCAGGATTCGCTGGACTTCTGACTCACTTGATGGCTGCAAGCAAACAATCATCGTTCTCCTTTGGGTACGAATTGATGAGACGAGACGGGGATTCCGCTTGGCCGATTTGCTGCGTAGGTCGATACTGTATACTGAAATCGTACCCCAATAGAGTAGTCGCCCATCTTTGTAACCGGTTAGCAGTTAAAACAGGAATTCCTTTCTTTGAGCAGAATATCGACAGCAATGTCTTACGATCAGTCAGGAGGGTGTAATGCCTGTCATAGAGCATTGTGGAATTGCTTCATGACGAAAACAATTGCGAGTGCTTCCTTTTCAACCTGACTATAGGTTTTCTCAGCTGATGTTAGGGACCGTGCCGCGTGTGCATCAGCCTTCTCTCCTCCGTTCGGAAAAAATTGGGAAATAACGGCGCAGATACCATAATTGGAAGCGTCCGATGCAACGATGGTTTCGAAGTTCGGACTGAAATGAGTCAATAAGAGAGCAGACCTGAGTGCTGCTTTAACTGTGTCGAAGAACTGCTGGCATTCCCTCGTCCATTGCCAAGCGTTATCTTTCGTCAGCAACTGGTTCAGCGACCTCGGGTTTGATGCAGGCTTGTCAGGAAAACAATGTAATGGCTCACGAGACCGAGAATTGAGAGAAGCTCTGCGACATCTTTCGGAGGCTCCATCTGTTTGATAGCTTCGATAGTGGCGGGATCTGGGCACCGGCCATGTTGGTCTATGATAAACCCGAGGAATTTAACACTATCTAACATGAACTCACATTTCTCAGCCCGTAATCGAAATCCAGCTTCTTCCAAACGTGAAAGCACTCTCTCCAGTGTATGCATCAAGTCTTGCGGGTCTGCGCCCATAATCAACGTATCATCCAGGTAGACTGCGGTATTGGGGATATCATTCAGCACGGTATCCATAATTTGCTAGAAATTGGCCGGTGCGGTTTTCACCCCAAATGGCAGCCGATTGTACTGGAAAAGCCCAAGGTGTGTATTAACCGTTAGTAATGTTCTGCACTCCTCGGCAACTGGAACTTGCAAGTAAGCGTCAGCTAGGCCGTTTTGCGAAGCATTTACCACCGTTGAGTTTGGAGAACAAGTCCTCTGGTACAGGCAATGGGTACTGATGCGTCTCCAGCGCAGAATTCAGTCCTGTTGAAAAGTCAACACAGATACGGACCTGTTCGCTTTGCCACCACAATCGGTGTCGCCCATTCTGAGTAGTAAACCCGTTCGAATATACCTTCAAATTGCAAACGATTTAGCTCGGCGTCCACTAGAGATTGAGTTGCGTACGGTACCTGGCGTCTTGGTCTGAAGACTGGTCTGACATCTGATTTGTGGTTCAGCTCCGCCCTGGCTACGCGACAGCATCCGAGACCGGATTTGAACAACGTTTCATGGCGTCGCTTCAGATCTGTAATTTGGTTGCGCAATTCAGGGTTCATCGTTGGTATCTGCATGACTTTCTTGACTTGCAACTGCTGGCATATACTGTTTATCGGCGTCCAGCAAGTTCAACTCGTCCATCCAATCGGGTCCCAGCAAATCTAACCCCGGTTGGTCTGTCACAAAGCATGTCGTGTGAATTTGTTGGCCTCAAAAATTGACTTGACAGTCCAATGCACCAAGCAGTTTTAACGTACCACCTGAAGTATTCCGTGCGGTATTGTTCGTTTGTACGAGTGTTGGCCGCCCCAGCCTGTGCCACGTGTCGCTGGAGATCAGAGAGATATCTGAAGCAGTATCAGGTTGTAACTTGACCTATCTGCCATTGTTTTCCACCATGGCGTACTTACACCTGTTGACGCCATCAGGCTTGAAGGTCGCAGTGATCGTTCTGATCCCATCGGGACGTCTGAATGGTGTGACGTTGTTGCGCTTCTTTCTGGAAAAAGTAGGACTACGTGCCAAACACGACTCGTTATGATCTCTTCTTCCGCATCGGCGGCAAACGTGATTCTTAAATGGACAGTGTCGAGCAAAATGCCGTTCTCTACAAAACCAACAAGCATAGGGAGGCTTGGAATGTGATGCACTCACATGAGTTGGTGCTTTTTGAGGAGTCCGGTTGACTGCACAAATGAGGTCATGCTCGTTCGTACTGGACAACTGCTGAATCACTGATGTATCATGCTTCAGGTTCGTCATTCTCTGGCACTCACCGGTCACTTGCTGCAATGTGATGTCAGGATTCTGTCCAATATTGCTCAATATTCTTGTTCGTATGTCCGCATCTTTGGCTGCTTGTAGGTCGCAAACGTAAATGGGGCACTTGTACTGGTCGGCAGTCATTTTGTGGAACTGTGAACGTTCACACTCGCGCTATACACGGCTCAAGTAGGTGACCCAATATTCGTCTTCTTTCGTGGCCATCGTGAGGCACTTGGATCGAATGATAAACAACGATGTCTAGTCATCAAAAAGTTATGACAGGACTGAGACAACTTCGTCAAAGGATAGGTCAGTGCTCTTTCTCAGCAAAATGAAATTTATCAACTTTTCAGGCTCAGCCGCACCCAGCTTCCGGATCATCAAGCGAATTTTATTCACTGCCAATACATTTGCGAAATTAACACGAAACATGTCTTCGTGCTTGTGAAACCAGAAAGCGAATGTTACGCCGGCATCCGCATCACAATGGAATTCATTGCTTTGTTGAGTCAGGGTTTCTGGAAGGGGGACACCTTCACTTGCCCCAAACCCTGGGTTGGACTGCATCGACAGTTTCTGCGTCAACATCTCAATGAGCTTGGCCTGCTGCTGCAAAAGTGTCTGCAAGTGTTCGGAGCTGAGCGAAATTTTTGGGTTCGATGGAAACTCGCGTCACCACTGTCGCAACGCCGCCCTCCCTCTGCTCTCTGCCACCCCAACCC